AAGGGCCTTTTTACACAGAAGACTGCTGTGCTGATGAAGGCTTGGTAAAGAGGCAAGCCTGACTTTCAGGAACATCCTATTTCTTTTAAAAAAAAACATTTTATTTATTTATTTTCAGAAAGAGGAGGAGGGAAGGAGAAAGAGAGAGAAAAACATCAGTTGGCTGCTCCCACTCACCCCTAGCCAGGGACCCTCCAGCAACCCAGGCACCCCAGGCATGTGCCCTGACAGAAAATCAAACTGATGACCTTCTGGTTTGTGGCCCATTCCACTAAGCCACAGCAGCCAGGGAAGGAACATCCTGTCAAAGCCACCAAATCCCTGTGCTAAGTAACACTTACTCTTTTTTTTTTCTGTTTTAATTACGAAGTTGGAAAAAGGTCAGTAAAAATGTATAGTGTAGAAAATAAAAGTCCTCTGTATGCTCCCACTTATTTCTAGTTTCAAATATAGTTCTTCCAGATTTGTCTAAACAGTACCAACACACACACACATAAATATATATATATATATTATATATATATACTAAAAATTAGTAATACTATACATATCTTCAATAACTTGCCTAATATCTGACAGAATAATATCTACAGGAAATCCTTCCAGGTTTCCAAGCATGAGGCATTTAGCTTCAGGAAGCCTTCCCGGTGATGAGAGGAGTCAGACTCGGGCTGACCAGTAAAACTGCAGTGATGTAGTATCCTATTTTGTGCTGCTGTCCCCACATGGGGCCACTGAGCCCTTAGAATGCTACTAGTGCACCTAGCACTAGATGGTTAACTTTGATTGATTGTGTTTGAATTTCACTGTGCTGAGTGCAAGGTTGACAAATGGCAAGTGCCAACAGCCAAAGAGAGTCTCTCTGCCAGAGAAGCCATGTGCTTTCTCATGCACACACAGGAAAAGTGACAGCACCCACAGCCCAGAGGCATGACCACCAGTGGAGTGGAGCTGAGGCTCAGGATGTGAGGGCATTTGGGCCCAGGGACATACATAGAATTCAGGGTGTCCAGCTGTGATCACTGCTTTGCTTTGGGCTTTCTGATAGAAGCTTGACTTGAAATGATTTGGGTCTTTGTCTCCACACCAATACTTTAACGTTTACTGTCTGGATTTGAGGGTTTAGAAAACCCCTATGGTGTTTCCTCACTCTTTTCCTACCCATAGAGCCAGCACTTGAATAAGTCACATGTATTTGGAAGTGGATGGGGAAGTGTGTCCATCCTAGCCTTAGGCAGGCTGTCTTTTTTTAAAAATATATTTTATCGATTATGCTATTACAGTTGTCCCATTTTCCCACATTTATTCCCCTCTGCCCTGCAACCCACTCTCACCCACATCCCCCCTACCTAGTTCATTTCTATGGGTCATGAACTACACATAAGTTCTTGGGCTTCTCTATTTCCCATACTATTCTTAACCTTCCCCTGTCTATTTTGTACCTACTAATTATGCTACTTATTTGCTGTACATTTCCCCCCATCCTTCCCTACCCCTCACCACTGAGGTGACCACTGAGGATCTCCCTTTCTGTCATTCTGTTCTAGTTGTTTGCTTAGATTGTCTTTGTTTTTATTTTTGGGTTTTTTTTTAGGTTTGGTTGTCGATAGTTGTAAATTTGTTGTCCTTTTACCGTTCATATTTTTTAGCTTCTTCTTTTTCTTAGATAAGTTTAACATTTTATATAATAAGGGCTTGATGATGATGAACTCCTTTAACTTGACCTTATCTGGGAAGCACTTTATCTGCCCTTCCATTCAAAATGATAGCATTGCTGGATAAAGTCGTCTTGGATGTAGGTTCTTGCCTTTCCTGAACTTCGAATACTTCTTTCCAGCCCCTTCTTGCCTGCAAGGTTTCTTCTGAGAAATCAGCTGATAGCCTTATGGAAACTCCTTTGTAGGTGACTGTCTCCTTTTCTCTTGCTGCTTTTAAGATTCTCTCCTTATCTTTAATCTTGGGTAATGTAAGTATGATGTGCCTTGGTGTGTGCTTCCTTGGGTCCAACTTCTTTGGGACTCTCTGCATTTCTGGGACTTCCAGAAAGTGTATTTCCTTTGCCGGATTGGGGAATTTCTCCTTCATTATTTGTTCAAATAAGTTTTCAATTTCTTGTTCTTCCTCTTCTCCTTCTGGCACCGCTATGATTTAGATGTTGGAACATTTTAAGTTGCCCAGAGGTTCCTAAGCCTCTTCTCATATTTTTGAACTCTTGTTTCTTCATTTTGTTCTGGTTGAATGTTTCTTTCTTTCTTCTGGTGCAAATCATTGATTTGAGTCCAGGTTTCCTTCCTGTCACTGTTGATTCCCTGCACATTTCCCTTTATTTCATTTTGCATAGCCTTCACTTCTTCCTCTATTTTGTGACCATACTCAACCATTTCTGTGAGCATCCTGATTACCAGTGTTTTGAACTCTGCGTCTGATAGGCTGGCTATCTCTTCATCACTTAGTTGTATTTTTTCTGGAGCTTTGATCTGTTCTTTCATTTGGGCCATATTTTTTTGTCTTGCCATGCTTATTACATTCTAAGGGGTTGAGCCTTAGGTATTGGCCAGGGTAGGGCAATTCACATTGCTGTGTTTAGCACTGAATGTGGAAAAGAGATTTGAGAGGGAACAATGAGGCTTGCTCAGCTCTCAGCTGACTTTCAGTCACTTCCTCTGCTATCCACAAGCAAATTGGGCCCTTCTGGTTCTGATTTCCAGGTGGGTGAGTTTGTATACATTCTAGGACCCTATGGGTCTCTCCAACACACTCTCCTGTGAGACTGGGTGTTTCTCCCATCGCCACAATGCCCACAGGTTTTATCAGTCAGAGATTTTGAGGCTTTATCTCCCTAAGCTGGAACCCTGGGTTGTACAGTCTGTCTCGCTCCCCAGTTGTACCTCCTGCTTACTCTGCCAGCTACCATCTCACCTGCCCAGGTCCTTCAGCCACTGCCTCACCTTGAGTCCTCTTCATCCCAGCTGCCCATCTCTGTCCCCCCTACCAGTCTGGATGAATGTTTCTTCTTTAACTCCTTGATTGTCAGACTTCCATACAGTTCAATTTTCTGGTAGTTCTAGTCATTTTTTGTTTTTAAATTTGTTGTTGTCCTTCTTTTGATTGTGCGAAAAGTCACAGTGTATCTAGCTAGGCCTCCATCTTCGTGGGAAGTATCTAATAACACTTTTCTGGTGCTTACATTGAAAGGTCACCCTCACAGTAGGTGCCGATCTACAAGAACAACTTTGATCAATTGTTCTTCTCTGTGAGTCTCCATTCCCTGCAGTAAACTCTATGCTAACACTGATACAGGTGCAGCTTTACTAACACCTGGTACCTGTGCTGATGGGCAGTAATATGGGCCCTAAAGATGGTTAAGTATTTCTGAAAACACCCATTCTATCAGCCACAGCCAGTCCTGCACAGGTGCCCCTCATGGTTTTCCCTGGGGCAAACACAGCTCCAAAATATCCGACAGTTCTGAATTCCAAGCTAGACCAATGGTTTTTGGTTTATCTTTTCTATTTTTAACTCCAAGATCCAGAATTCTGTTTTATTTCAAGGGATATCAACCTTTTCCCCCATTTAGATATATAAAAAATAGCACAAAGTAATTTACAAAGTTTCCAGGAGTATAATTTGACTTAAAATACTGCCTTTCGGGTCTCATTGCATTATTCTTAGCCAGACTATTGGTACCAAATAACATTACAACTCCCTGAAAATATATGACTTATAAATAGTAGATTTCCACCATATTTTTTCTAAATTATTTCTTATTTAAGCTATTTTAGCAATTTATGTATTTCAATATAACTTACATTCTGTATTCTGCTCCTTAAATGTCTTCAACTCATGTAGATTTTCAGATTTAATCTTCTGTATAAGAGAGCTCACTTACCTAGACTTTTAGAGGTTTTTTAATTGACTGGGGTGATATTCATTAATGAGTTTCAAACGTGCAATTCTATGATATACCATCTGTGTATTTTTTTGTATGTTCACCACCCAAGTCAAGTCTGCTTGTAGAACAATGGTCTTGAATGAAAGGCTTTTATAATGAAGTGAGCTCTGAGAGAGATTTCTTGAGCTCCAAATAGTGTGAACATTTGTGAACTCAAAATACATTTTATCTCATAAACTACAACAACAGAAAATTGTGGGGTGACATAAGAACAACTTTAAAGAACATGAAAGATTCAACAGAAGACGGAACAGAGAAGTAGATACGTAGCAACTCCTGCCGTGGAGGACGTTATGTATCAACTTGCCTGGGCCACAGTACACAGGTATGTGGTCAAAACACCAGTCTGGAAGGTGGTTTTTAGATGAGATTAACCTTTAATCAGTAGACATCGAGTAAAGCAGAGTACCCTCCATAAAGTGGGTCAGCCTCACCCAACCAACCGAAGGCCTTCAGAGAAAGGCCTCTCTTAAGAGAAAGACTGAGGTCCCCAGAAGAAGAGGGAATTTTTCCTGCAGTTTGGTTTCAGACTCAAGACTGCAACAAAACTTCTCTGGTCCAGTCTGCCCTGCAATTTCAGACTTTCCAGCCCCACAAATACACGACCCAATTATTTAAAGTATCTCTCTCTATATATAAAGTATTTATATAGAAATAGATATAGCCCTGGCCAGGTGTCTCAGCTGGTTGGCCTGTAGTCCTATACAGCAAAATGTTGGGGGTTTGATCCACAGTCAGGGCACATGTGAGAGGCAACAAATCAATGTTTCTCACATCAGTGTCTCTCTCTCTCTCTCTCTCTCCCTCTCTCTCTCTCTCTTTCCCCTTTCTACTCTCTAAAATCAGTAAAAATATATCTCCTTGGGTGAGGATTTTTAAAAATGAAATATAGATATATAATGTGTGTGTATGTGTATAGGGTCTTATCCTGTTCAGGCTGCTATAACAAAATACAATACCATCAAATGTAGGGCTTAAACAACCAACTTTTGCCCCGACTAGTGTGGCTCAATTGGCTGGAGTGTTGTCCCATAAAGCGAAAACTCACCAGTTCAATTCCTGGTCAGGGCACATGGCTAGGTTGTTGGTTTGGTCCCCAGCTGGGGAATGGATGAGACGCAACTGATCAATGTTTCTCTCTCACATCGATGTTTCTCTCCCCCTCTCTCTCCCTTCCCTACTCTGTAAAAATAAATAAAATACATCTTTAGAAAACAACAAACTTTTATTTCTCACAGTTCTCGATGCTGGAAATCCAAGATGAGTCACCAGAAGATTCAACACTTGCTGGTTCATAGGAGGCCACCGTTTTACCTTTTCTCACATGACTGAAGGAGTGAGAGGTCTTCTCAAGAGCACTACTCACATTCGTAAAGGCTTCACTCTCAGGACCAAATAACCTCTCAAAGGTTTCCACTTCCAAACCCTGTCATACGAATTTGGGGTAGACACAAACACTCAGCCTATAACATGTGTTAATATTATATATACATATATATAATACATATACATCCTGTTGACTCTGTCTCTCTGGAGGACCCAGACTCTCCCCGTGCCTAAGTGAGGACTCAAAGCTCAAGCCCCAGAATGAGGAGTCGCAAAAGCTACTAGCGAGTGTAGAGGGTCTGAGAGTAAAAAAAAAAAAAAAAAAAACCCCATAAACAGAGCCACTTTCAAATGGAGGCAGACCTGCCACACCAGAGGAGCTGCCTCGTACATCTTCTGCCTCAAAACTGGGAAAGTCAAAGGGGCAGAGTGACCCTTGGAAGGAGGCTGAAAGCAACCCTGTGTCCCAAAGAACTGTTTGCAAGAATAACAAGAAAGCAGATGTTAATAACTACTGGGCTAAAAATTGAAAACACTTTAAAATTAAGATCAGGGAGGGAGTAAGGGGTGGAAGGACTGAGCAAAAGGAAAGAGGACTCATGGACAACAGTGTGGTGATTGTGGGGGAGTATATAAGGGAACTAAATGGTATTGGAAAAAGTACAATAAAAATTAAGTTAAATTAAATTAATATCACTAGTTTCCCTGCACCAATAGCAATTCCTTCCTTCCACTGATGTCATTGTTCCCCTTGCCTTTCTCTTAGTACTCTTTGCCTTTGTCTCCTAATTGGAACACTGGGTTTCTGCCAGAATTAGGGATTCCTTAACAGCTATTCTTTTTATTCTTTTTTAAAATTTTAATTGCTGTTCAACTACAGTTTTCTGTCTTTTACTCCCATCCCAGCCCCCTCCCCCAGTCCTCCCCACCTCCCTCCCATTTCCACACCACCTAGTTTTTGTCCGTGTGTCCTTTATACTTTTTCCTGTAAACCCTTCCCCTTTTCCCATGAAATTCCCTCCCTTCTCCCCACTTGTCACTGTCAGCCTGTTCTCTATTTCAGTGTCTTTCTTTAGTTTGTTTTGTTTTTTTTTTTAATCTCAAGTAAGCGCTTGTTGCCTCTCAATTTGAAAGCCTTTTATCTTTAGGTTAGCCTATTCAGCATAGTCAGACAGGATAGGAAGTGGCCTCACCTTCATGGTCCAGGGTCCACTGGAACCAGGTACAGCACCTGCAGAGCCTCTTTCGTGCTCAGTGTTCATGGGTTGCTGCCTCCCTGAAGCCCTCTTGGAGCCAAACCTCTCTTCTTTGTTGCTTAAGGTCAAATGCCTTTATTTGACATAGGGGGAGGGGTTTTTCCCCTCAATGGGGAGAGATTGCCAAGGTGCCAGCAAATGACAAGATGCCACAGGAGTTTGCTACCTTATTGGAAAGAGTCACTTTTTCTCTGGAGGGATTTTCCACAGCCCCCACATGTAAGAGGTGCTGGGGAGGGGGTGGTCAGTGGCTTGGCTCACAAGGTTCCTGATGTGTCAGTACTCACTGAATTGTGCTCTCTTGTCTCCTGATCCTGTCTTTCTGTATGTTGTTTGTCATAAGACAGATGTTGTAAGGATAGAGAACCAAACCTCTACAGGACAAAGGAATTCACTAAAATAATTTCTAAAAGGTCCTAAAAAATAAACTTTGGACATCTGGGTAAGCACTTTAAACTTTCTTACTGTTTGTCCTGGCTGAAACTTGGCACAAAATTTCGAGGATCTAATGATTCTATGATCAGAAATTTGGCAAAATTAGAAGTCTAATGAATCTTACCATTTGCAACAACATGGTCAGGCCTAGACGGTATTATGTGAAGTAAGTTGGTCAGAGAAACACAAATACCATATGATCCCACTCATATGTGCAATCTAAAGAACAAAATAAACAACAAAACAGAAACAGATTCACAGACACAGAGAACAGACTGATGGATGCCAGAGGGAAGGAGGTTTATGGGACTGGGTGAAAAGGTGAGGGGATTGAGAAGTACAGATTGGTAGATACAAATAGTCGTGGGGAGGTAAAGTGCAGCATAGAAAATACAGTCAGTAATACTTTGTAACAACTGTGAATGGTACCAGGTGGGTACTTGAAATGTCAAGGGGAGCAGTTTGTAAAGTTTAAAATTGTCTAACCACTATGCTCTCTACCTGAAACTAATACAAAATAATACTGAATATAAACTGTAATTGAAAAAATAAAAAGTACAAAATGCAGTGAAAAAAATTTTGGCAAGATTTAAACTCTATTAGCATTTTCCTATGACTCAATAAGTTCCAAGGTCTTCCAATTGATAATCAGAAATGTAAACACAGCCCACAACTGTCTAAAACTGAATAAACCAAAGGAGGGGAAATGAGAGAAAAAAGTTTAAGAAAAAAACAAAAGCTGCTAAAAAATTTCCCTTGCCTAAGCAGTACCCACACCCAATCTCCTTAAAAACTGTTCATCAAGCCCTGACCAGCATGGCTCAGTAGGTTGGGTGTCATCCCACAAAGCAAAAGATCACAGGTTCAATTCCTGGTCAGGGCACATGCCTGGGTTGCAGGCCAGGTACCTGGAGGGGGCATGTGAGAGACATCTGACTGATGTTTCACTTGCATGTCAATGTTCCTCTCCCTGTTTCCCTCCCTTCCCCTCTCTCTAAAAATAAATAAATAAAACCTTTTAAAAAAATTGTTCAAGTACAAATAAAAAGCTTAAAGCCTTTACATCTGAATGAATAAACTTAGTTTATTTCAACTGTTATAAATTAGCGGTATTTTGCCTTATTGTACTTGTCTCGTGGCTGTTTTTTTTCTAATATGTATGTTTGCATACCTCTGGAGAAGATTAATAAAAGTAGCTTATATAAAAAGAATTCAGTTTAATTGGCTTAAAGATATTAAGCACTAACCTCCTCCAGGACAAACTGGAATTACAACTATATTATAGAAAATTCATCTTGAATAACCAGCTGAACACTAGCTAGAGAGAAACCTTATAACGAAAAACTTATGGGAGGGTCTTCCTCCAAGATGAAGGCATAGGTGGAAGCACTGTACCTCCTCGCACAACTAAGTTTAAAAACAACAAAGTTTTAGCAGCAGAAACGCAGCCAAACCACGGAAAATTGAACTATACAGAAGTCTGACAACAATGAACCCTTCAGCCAAACTGGTAAGAGGGGCAGAGCCAGCAGCAGAGCGCGGTCCACAGGAAAGATCCACCGGACCGACCTGGGCGTATGACCCAGGCACACCTGCAGCTGTAGGCAGATCCCAGGTGTGGAGTAGCAGGCGAACCCACTGAGGGCTGACCACGGTCACACATTCGCGCGCAGATAAACCAGTGAAGGGGCGAGCGGTGAGACAGACTGTGCAGGCCCCAGTGGCAAGAAGCAGCAGAGGGAACCGCCATTGTCCCTCTCTGACCCTGCCCCCACATACAGCGTCACAAACCAGCAACCTGGGGGGCCCCGCCCTGGTGAACACCTAAGGCTCCGTTCCTCATACATAACAGGCATGAACAGATCAAAACATGGCTCAAGAACAACTCAGAGCCCCAGAGCCCATAAATCTAAGCAATGAAGAAATAGCCAAACTTTCAGATGCACAGTTCAAAACACTGGTGATCAGGATGCTCACAGAACTGGTTGATTTCAGTCACAAATTAGAGGAACATATGAAGGCTAAACTAATTGAAATGAAGGGAAATGCACAGGAAACCAATAGTAATGGAAAGGAAACTGGGACTCAAATCAATGGAATGGACCAGAAAGAGGGGAAAAAAATGACCAAAGAGAAAAGGATGAAGAAACAAGAATTCAAAAAAATGAGGAGAGGCTTAGGAACCTCCAGGACATCTTTAAACTCTTCAACATCCAAATTATAGAGGTACCAAAAGGGGGAAAGGAACAGCCACCAGTGGAAAGCTTATTTGAACAAATAATAAAGGAGAATTTCCCCAATCTGGCAAAGGAAATAGACTTCCAGGAAATCCAGGAAGCTCAGAGACTCCCAAAGAAGTTGTACCCAAGAAGAAACACACCAAGACACATCATCATTACATTAACCAAGATTATAATGAAGGAGAGAATCCTAGAAGCAGCAAGAGATAAGGGGACAGTCACCTACAAAGGAGTCCCCATCAGACTGTCAGCAGATTTCTCAAAAGAGACCTTACAGGCAAGAAGGGGCTGGAAAGAGGTATTCCAAGTCATGAAATCCAAACACCTACATCCAAGATTGATCTATCCAGCAAAGCTTTCATTTAGAATGGAAGGACAGATAAAGTGCTTCTCAGATAAGATCAAATTCTAGGAGTTCATCATCACCAAGCCCTTATTATATGAAGTGTTAAAGGGACTTATCTAAGAAAAAGAAGATAAAAAAGATGAACAGTGAAAGGACAGCAAACTCACAGTTATTAACAACCACACCTAAAACAAAAGCAAACTAAAAGGACAGCTAGATCAGGAGCAGAACCATAGAAATGAAGATCTCATGCAGGGTTAGCAACAAGGGAGTGGGAGAAGGAGAAGGGGGGGAAGGTACAGAAAATAAGAAGCATAGACAGTAGATAGAAAATAGATAGGGAAGGGGGCAAGATTAGTATGGGAAATATAGAATCTAAGGAACTTGAGACAGGTGGTCATAAACTAAGGGGGGAGTGTGGGGGGAGGGGGTGTGCAGGGTGGAGGGGAATGAAGGGGGAAATAGAACAACTGTAATGGAATAATCAATAAAATATATTTTTTTAAAAAATTTTAAAAAGAACTTATGGAAGCAATCATTCTACCACATTAAGACTGGTAGGAAGTGTGGAGGTGCAAG